GAGAAATTGGTTGAAATGAACGTTAAATTATTGTGAGAAAGAGTGTTAGGGTAAATATCAAGGGTAGTTACTGAACCTTTTTACTTTGAGGGAAATGATGATCCAAAGATTCTAAAAATTGACATGGTTCAGAATCCGAAGCAAAGAAAAATAAATCCGGACTTTACATGAAAATCCATAATTAATATGGTTGTTTAATCGAAAAACCATTTCACAAATAAACAAACCTGATATTTTTTTCCTTGAGGACTTTTAACTCATTTGGTAATTCAAACTCATGTGGTATACTTGATACAGACTGAAACTTATCAATATTGTACCATTCATTTGTCTCCAGAATGTTACTTTTCATTTCTGTGCTTGGTGTAATCCACCGTCCAACAGAATTGGTCTTATATTCTCGTCTTGAACCTTGCACGTTTGCGCAAAATTCATCGAATTTCCAACTATTCGGCATATCTTCCTTTTTACCCCATCCACCCAAAAACAATGAAATTCCATGACCAAACTCTGTGGAATCAGATGAAGTATAAACTTTGTCTACCACACAACCCACAAGAACTCTAGGACGTAATTTAGTGAATATATAGCTAGGAAAGAATTCCAATTCTTTGGGAGAGTAAGTTCGGGAAGCTAATAATATACAAACTTCACAAGGATCCGGTGTTTTACCGACTAAGGCATCAATTGCGTCTTTTGCCGAGGAGTGAGTTGCATTTAAAGTTATTGACATAGGTCGAGTAAAGACTGAAAAAAGTTTTTGGGAAAAGAATCTTTGAACTAAAGGATTTTTGAAACGGCAAAGTACATCGAACATCATAAATTCTTGAATTTAAAAACTAAAGGATTATTGTAATGTTTCGTAACCAGTGTTACTGGCGGATTTTAATACAAAATTAATAAACAGACAAAAAGACAATTTACAGTCGATACTGTCTAAGTGCATACGTATACTGTTTAACTTCATTTCCCAACATGGTTATTAATTATAAATGCATAATTTCTCTACGTACGTATTTGCCTAATGCATAAAAAATTGTTATTTTTTGTTAATAAAATTGCAAATAAATATCTTATATCGCTATATATTTGACTTTAAACATAACGATAAATAATTTTTGATTCACTAATAAAATTATCAGCTCAATAAAATGCTTCTAACGAGCCCAAAATTGTCAAAATCCGATCACAGGAGATTAAAGATTTGTGTTGCTTTTTTACAAGTTTATATACGTGATAGAATCTTAAATTATCCAAAATGGATGAATCAAAAGATAGTCTATATATATAGTTAGTTTATAACAATTTGGGTTAGCGTTAACCTTAGATTAGGATAAGAGGGTTTGTTTATATACAATTTTGATGCTAAAAACTTTTGCTTAAAAATCGAAGCATAATTTTATAACAGTTTTTTTTTTTTTTTTTAATACATATGCTATTCCAAATTTAATATAAAAATATAGCATTAATAAGTAAAAAATTTAACTGAATTTTTTATACCGCCTCATAAAGATCTGAATAATTATAGTATATTATATATTTCTTACGCGTAATAACGCTCGTGGACGTTATTTAGAAAATCGCGCTCCATGAAAATAACATGGTATAGTTTCAAAATAAGCGCTCAAAAAAATAACGCGTACCCATATAAATCGGCTTAGGTAAGAAGAGATTTAAGAGTGATCTATCGATTAGAGTGACTTTATTTTGAGGAACAGGTTTAGAAGAAATTTTATCATTGCCTCAAAATAACGCCCATGCGTGTACTCTAAATAACGCGCAGATTGGAATTATTACGCGTAAATACGGTACTATCTAAAACATTTATCAGATGAATAAATCTTCATTTCATTAATCAGCTATTATTGTAATTCTCACAATAGATTCTAACAAAATTGTTCTGTTTATCTTGAGGAATTAGCAAACAAATGTTACAGTGCAAAATTGAATATCTAAATGATCTATGGTGACGGTGTAAATGAAATTATGCGATTAAACATAAAGAGCCTAAAGTTTGTTGAAATTACTAGTGTACGAGAAGTTGCAATAATGCAGTCTACTTCTACTATAGCTAGTATAAATGCAAAGAGAATGTAGTTCTAATTTGGGATATGGAAATAGTTGTCATCCACATAGTAACTAAAATATAAATACCATAGAAAACAGACATTAGAAAATAATTGTATTTTTTGCTATCAAATTTTATTTAAAATTTGTTTCGCTTTTCATGAAAATTATTTTGAGATTCAAAATCCACTAAATGGATTCTGAATTCACAGAATTCCAAATCCGCCTAAAGATACATAAAGATATACAATTTAACTATTTTTACTATACAGTCCTAACAATCAACTACAAGTCACTCTTGTTATAATGAATTCTTGATATAATGAAGAATTTTAAACTACAATACTATTGAAATTCGTTCGATATAACTAATATTTTTTCTATATAAGCTATAGCGAAGAAGTTTCGATGACTTCATTATAACGAGTGACATATATTTATAAACCAAAAAAAAAAAAAATTAAACGATAAAATATTAAACCCTAATTACTACATTACTGGATTGTAGTTACACCAAATTTATAATGATGGTCAATTCTGCAAAATATGAACAAAGCTTGATAAACCAATGTACACAATGTTAAAAGAAAACAAACAGTACCCAAGAATGTATTTACAAGAGACCAAAAGGATGACTTTAAATCAGACCTCAGTCCTATAATTTAAAAGCAGTAAATATTATTTTAAAAAATGTACATGATGAAAAGTATCGTTAGTTTCTTTTTTTAACTTACCATTCAAGTTTTTTCTTCGATTTATTGTTATTAATGTCTGTTTCCATTGGATCAGAAAAGGGATCTGCAAATGGATCATCAAGCAAACTATTATCATAAACTATATTGTCATTCGCAGAATGACTATATAAAGAATTTCCATTAATAAAATTTGAATAGTAATGTAAAGATATATAAATATATATTAAAATGCTTTTACTTTGATGTATAAAATGCGTCAAAATCAATGAGGTCAAGATCTTTGTGTATCTGATGCAAAAACATGTTAAACCAAATTAGTTTTATAAAAAAACTTGTTAATGCGTTATAATAAACCATAAAAACCTTGGCAGAATCTTGTGATTGGAATGTAATTTTTTTTTGCTTTATTTCTGATGAAATGTTTTTCGAGTTTGAATTTTGTGAGAAAGACTCACAGTGCTCCGAATATTTTGATAAAGCAGCTTGTACTTGATCATTTGATTGTAATAAAGGACCTTGTATATACAATAATTAATATTAGTATAAGTAGTAAATAGAATAATAATAAAAAATACAAATAAAATTGAATATTATAATTGTACCCATTTTATCATCATCCATGACAGTTGGTATAATTTTAACTAATTGTTCGGATGAATCTTTGCATTTACGAACCAATTTCTAAACAAAAACTAAATATAAGTAATTAAGTTTTTTAAAAATAAAATGTCAATAACATTATGTACCTGAATTTCGGGATCTTTTTCAATATTCGTGTTTGGGGTTAATAAAATAAGTGCATTTTCGAGATTTGTAGCATTTTGAGCAGCCAACCCAATTTCTTGATTAATCTTAAAAACAAGAAACGAGCTTCAATGATAATTAAAAACATAAGCTTTACGAAAAAAA